CAATTTGCTTTTAAATATATTACTTTGTTAAATGAAAATCTTGTATATTATGAAGATAAAATTATTAATGATGTTATTTAAATTACAATGATAATTTTAGGTTTTATTACTGCTATTATTTTATATATAACATTTTAGATTTCAAATGTGACCTTATATGAGAAATAAATATTAATGCTTATATCAAGAGTTTCGTACAAAGCTGCAGAAGAAGCTATTGATAAATTATTAGATATAAGATCTGTTCTTTCTGAACCAACTTAATTGGTTTGGAAAAAAATTAATTTTTTTGATCTTAATTATGAAAGTAAAGAAAATAATAATGATTAAAATAAAATGATTGTGGCTAAGAGTTTAAAAACAACTTCAGCAACAAGATCAAATTATTAAAATACAAAATCTAAAACAAAATCTAAAAGAAATTACTAAAGCAATTCACTTGCTTAAAGAATATATGATTTAAGTTTGATTAATAAAATGAACTATATTTATTTGATAGTAGTATGGTTGATATTTTGCCTTTTTGTAATTGGTTCAATTCTTGTAACTGTAAATTAAATTTCTGATATCAAACCAACACTCAATTTAAATTTATAATTAATTCGATTTAAATTTAGATTTGATTCATTAATTGTTTATAGTGAAGTTATTAAAACTGAAAAAATAATAGAAACATATTTACAAAATTAATATAAAGATTTAGATATGTAAATAGATGTCATAATTGATTTATTCAATTAATAATATAATGGATTTTAAGAAAGTATGAAATAAATTTATGATTCTCTTATTGGAAATTCAGGATTAATGTAAAATTAAAAAACAGAATTACTCATGTATTTTGAATAAAGTCTATGTAATTTCATGAGTCCAGAAATTCCTTTCTGTAATATCGAAATATCAAGTGATATTAATTTTACTGTTCCTAAAAGTTTCATAGATCAATATGGTTAGCCTATAGCAGAAGACAATAATTACGAATATGTTTCTGGAGGAATAATTAATATGGTTTAAGAATTTAGTAAGACCTTATAGATGTACTATTATACTGAATTAGTAAATAAAATGTTGAGTAATGATAGTGCTTTTGAAATTAGTCAATATTTAAGATCTAAAGTACATATAACTTAATAGGTGGAATATTTTTTAGATACTGGAAAATTATTAAGCACTGTTGGATATAATTTATACGAATAAAATTAATCAAAGTTAAATTAGGCAACCACTCTTACTTAAATATATGTCTATATAACTGGATTCAGTGTATTTCTAATATTTATTATAATGTCATATAAATGGATGAAATAAATAACAACAAGACTTTAATTAATGAGATTAAGTTTAACTCTTATACCATATGATATTTTATTAGAACCAAAGACTATAAGTTCACTCAAATAATTGTGAAATAATTAATATCAGCTACAAAATCTATTAGCATCTTATTTTTATATTAATATATAATATCTAAACGAATATTTATATTTTCAACCAATTGTTATTCCTTTTCCTGTAAACGCAGAATTATTTATAACTGTGGGCTATTAATTCCTTTCATTTTATTGCAAAGGTCTCCCTTAATGTTAATTAATCCATACTTTCAGGTTCTTCTATTCTATAATCTTTCTCAATATCCAAAGCCATGAATTCTCTATAGGCCAAAAAGACAATATATTAAGCAATTATATAGAATAATAATGTTGTCAAATGTAAAATGCCTAGAATCTTTTCTCTTCCACTTTCTCCTAATAGGGGTTTTTCATTCTAAAAACGAGTAGCAAAATATAGTCCTTTTAATAAAATCTTTAGTAATTATTATGAATACATGATATAAAGTTATAACTATATAGATAAGGCATTATAAACTTCCTAAAGAAGACCAGGCTGACCATAATAAAATTATGAAAATTATTTCAAACAATTCTCCTAACTGAAATTAGGCCACTTATCTTGCAAATAACAAAGCCAATTAAATAAAAGCAATCAATTACAACTGAAAAACTGATCTCTTTCCTTAAAAAGTATTAGGTTTTTTATTATCAAATGGTAAACACATATGAATATTATTAATAATATATTTATGTAAAATAAATTCAATTTCCTATTCTATTAGCATTAACTCCAAATAATGCATATGATTATAAGTCATTTTAATTGGCACCACCATTATATTGTGGCATCCCTTATTCTCCATTCTAGTCATCTTAAAGTAAATCCTATATTAAAAATAAACATAAAATACATTATCTTTTTCTTTTCTCATTTAAAAATATGTTTTTTTCATCTCTTATAAATCACCCTTCATTCTATCAATTTCAAATTTCAACATATCAACCTTTGATTTATTTATAATATTACATAATCTTGACTTTGCTTTAATTAACTTAAGGTTGTCTTCATTTTTGCAGCATTTTCTTTTAAAGATTCCTTATATTAAGCAAGTTATTAATGTATTTCAACTCCTGGTTATCTAGATAATATATTTTTCAATTCCATAAACAATTTTTCTTTTTCTTTAATTAAATTTTCTTTTTCATTTACTTCTTCAGTTTTAGCAATTAATCTTCTTTATAAAGTCTAAATTTTTAGAATTCTCTCAAAGTTTTCTTAATCTGTTGCTTCAAGTTTTCTCCATCTATGTACATTCATTGGATTTTCCAATTCATCTGATAAGGCTTTGACTTTATTTTTTTCATTTAATAATTCCTTTTCGATATTATTAATCTCTTTTCTTAGTTCATCAATACATGCAGTTTGATCTTATGTAGACTTAATTTAAAATAAAATTTTACTTTTAATTCATTTCTTAAATTAGTTAATTCATCTTTTAAACTTTTTAATTCAATTTCTCTCTCTCTAAAATTAATTTCACCTTTGCTTAAACTAGACTAATTTAATTTAATCTTCTCATAAAGAACTTATAGTTCTTAATTTCTTTTTATTAATTAAGTTCCTAATATATCTCTTTCATTAACAACCATTTCATAGTCTTTTTATTATCTTTATTTTTCTGTTTAAGCTCCTTATATAATGTTTTTTAATCTTGAAATATGACTTTCTTAATTTTTAATTAAATCTTCATCTGCTTTAATATTTTTTTCAACTTTAGCTTTATCTTATTCAATTTTTGCATTTTCTTCTTCTACTTTATGAAATTCAAGGTCCTCTTTTACTAATTATTAATCTTTTGTTTTAATTTCTTCTTTTAATTAATCAACTTAATGCTTCATTCTAGTATATTTTTTTGTTAATTCTTAAATTTCATTATGACTCTCTAATAAATTCTTAGAATAAAGATTTCTATCACTTCTGACAGTTTCATATAATTATTATTAATGTTTCAATCTAGCTTCAGCTTCAGCAATTTATTTTTATTATTCAGCTATTTAATTATTTTTTATTTTAACTTCCTCAACTGTTTAATAAAACTTAGCATGAGCTTATGATGCCTCAATACCATACTTTTCTTATTCTCTTTATAATTATAAGATCATTTTATTAATTCTTTCATTACTTGCTTCATATCCCATAACTTAGTTTTCTACTTTTTTCAATTTATTAACTTTATTAACAATTTCTTCATCAGTTTAATGTTAAACATCCTCTTATTTCTTTAAAGTTTTTTATTATTATGTTCTTGATTTGATTCTTTGACTATTTTGTTCATTTATTTTATCTAAAATATCTTTCTTTTATTATAATTCAATCTTTTCAGTTTCAATTAACATATCTTTTGTATTTTTTTCAATGAGTTATTCTTCTTTTTCTTTTATTGTTTTATTTTTTTCTTTAGCTGTTATTTCTTATTCCTTATGAGTTTTTTTCACTTCCTTTTTTTCTTTTTAAATTTCAATTTGTAACTTCTCTAATTATTCCTATTATATTTTAATTTATTCTTTATAACTCTTTAATTATTCCTCTTAATTTTCTCTATCTTTTAAAGCAGCAGCAAATTTATCTTCAGCTTCTTTTTATTTTGTATGTTAACTTTCTTTTTCTTTTATTTTAATTAATATAGTATTATTTGTAGAAACTATTTATTTTTTAATATCATGTATTCTGGATTGTTTTTCTTCAATTTCCTTTTTTGCTTAGTCAATTTTTTATTTAATATCAGCCATTTTAACTTCTTTTTTCTTTTTTCTCTTTTCTTATTCTTTTGAATCAGCATCAATTTTAGCAATTTTATCCTCTAAATCACTAATCTTTTAAATTTAATCTTAATATTATTTTTCTTCATTATCTAAATCATGTTTTAAATTTTTATTTTGTTATTCTAAATATTCAAATTTTGATTTAGCACTCTAAAAATCTAAAATTTTATATATTATATATACTCTTCTTAATTTCATCTATTAATCTTTTTTTATCATTTAATTATATCTAACTTTACTCTTCTATATCCTCAACTACTCTATCACATTATTTTTTTAACTAATTAATTATATAATTATTGTACATTTTCAACTTCAATTTTTGCTTAAACTATTCTTTCTTTAAGTTCCTTCTCTTTTATTTTAAGATCTTCTATTTTTCTCCATTTCTCTTCTAATTCTTTTTAAAAAGTTTCTGATTATTGATTATCATCATTAATCATTTTTAATGACATCTAAACTTTGGATGTATAGATAACTATTTCACCATTATGTTCTTTGCATCTAAAATATTTCTCTCAAAATACTTTTTAGTCCATCTAACTTCATTTTCATAACTTTCTTTAAGAGAATTATAAAGAGTTTCATATTTTATCTTAAATAATTCTAAATCAGGGTCCCCACTAAAATCTCTCACAACATCTTGAAAATGCTTTTCAATTTATTGTATAAATTGTGGATCTGTAGAATATTGATCTATTTCTTTATTTAAAGCTGCTAAACTTAATCCTTCCTCTGGAGCTCTTGCCATTTTAATTATATAAATAATAAAATATTATAAATAATAGGTTTCATTTCCTCATTTGATATAATAATAATTATAATACTTAAACCAATCAACACAATTCATAATACTTGATTTTTTAATTTCTCATTCTAAATTTTGAAAATCAAACTTGATAACTCTTTAGTTAGGAAATTATCAGCATCAAATAATTTAAAACAATTTTCAGCCTAATATATAAGAATAAATATAAATACATCAATAAATTCTGTTATTCCTGATAAATCATATACCATATTACTTTACAAAACTCCATCTAAAATTATTACAGCATCATTGGCAGTATATTTACTTTTTGGACAATCAAAAATAGATTCATCTCCAAATTCTAATATATAATTTCTAAAAAAAGGAATCAAACTTTATATTTAACCTGCATTAAACATATCTACTTATCTCCATAATTATGGTTTCATAATAGCTAATCCTTAAATAATTTATTTCATTTCTAATAAATTAAATGCATTTGTCTCTATAAATATTTCTAATATCTTAAGGATATGTTAATAAAATGAATTCTTAATTAATCCTAAATTATAAAAATAAAGACCCTTTATTGGATGTTTTATTTTCCCAAACCAATCAACTATTATATCTTCAGCTTCACTTAATGTCATTATTGCATTTCCAATTTAATTCAACCATATATAGTTTTATACTAACAAGAGTTTTAATTAACTTATTTGATTTTTATTTATTTTTGTTTTATCTTTAGATTAATTTGAATATCCTGTTAATGCTTTTTCAGCTGCTTAACATGAGAAAAGTATAAATATTTTTTGATTTGAATTTTCATCTAATTTATAAAGGTTTAATTAAAATGTAATTAGATTATTTTGATAATCAAATTCATCAACTTCTTATTAAGTAATTTCTCTAAGTAAAATTTTTGCATTTCTTTTTTTTTTAATTGATCTTTTAATTTCTTTTAATTCCTAAATTCTATCCTTTTTTACTTCCTGAATTTGTGATAATGTATCAGAAATTAAATTCTCTATTCCTATTCTATGCAAAAAATGGGAGAGGACATTCCAGAATTAGATTTTATGTTTTTGATTTTATAATTTCAATTGAAATTGAAGTAATAGGCATATAGAGGGCATCTAAAATTTGCTTTTGGATAAAATATCTAAATGATTAATAATGCATTCTATCACAAAAAAATCATCAATTACATTATCAAATAGAGCATCTTCAATAGACTCTTTGATAATAATAGTTTTAGGTTAGCATATCTTATTGATAATATTCTTTTCTGATTAAAAACATAGCTAAAATCTTAATAGTGAATATTACAAAATGATGTTTATATCCATTTTTATTCTCCTTTATATAAAAACCTTGTTATAAATCAAGTTAATGTAAATAAGACAATAATAATATTGAATAATCGTATGCCTTTTCCATATCTATCATAGATATATAATATCGACATAAGAAATGACAATGAAAAGCCCAAGTTAAACATCCTTCAATAAATTTATATTCTGCTACTCTATAATAATATTTATTAATACATTTTTAATTAGATTAAGATTTCTTCATCTCCACATTCTGCTTTGATTGAACAATAGGCAGTTTTCAAAATTTATTATAAAGGTAAAATCAACTTAACAAAACTAACATTTATGAAATCTTCTAAAATTGATTATGAAAATTTAATGTTAAAATAATAAGGTAAATTAAAAAGAAAATATCTTGCATTTAAAGTTTCATCATCAAAATATTCAATATAGTCATTTCTATGGTAAAGTCTATTATATGGACTTTTAATCAATTATTAACTTTTTTATTTTATATCAGCCTCTAAAATTTATAAATCTCTTGTAAAACCTTCATGTGTATCATTTAAAATAATAGCATTATTATCTATTAATTTTTTAGTAAAAGAAATCATTAAATTAGCCATATCTATTTCTTCAAATTCATAGTAAATCTAGATTAAACCCAAAATAAATATAGAATTTTTAAAATTTTCATTTATATATTGCTCAAAACTATTATAAATATTCATTAGCTTTTTTTTCTATAGTAACATTATTCTAGTTTAAGTCAAAAAATATTAATGATAACAAAAATAATCAGATTAAAGGTTAATTAACATATTATCTATTGGATGTTAAAGAATTTAATAATTCTTAGCTTTAGAGAATAATGAATCACCTTATATCATTAGTTAAGAAATTTAAGTGAATATTTCTTCCTTGTAATTAATAAATTAAGCAATATTTTCAAAGTGTCTTTTAGCAAAACTATAACAATAAGATTAATAGATAAAGATTCTTAATTATATTAGTCCCTAATGAAATAACCATGATGAGGTTTCATTATTTTAATTAATGAAATAATCTGTCCTTACACCTAAAGTATATTTTTTATGTAATTATTGTAATTATAATATTTTTGATGTGTTTTCTAAATTTAGTTAACCTAATTAATCTATATTTAAAATGTTGACTCTTTATTTGAAGTTAATTGGACAATAGTCATACAGTTTTAAAAGAAAATGTATGACTCTTATATTTAAAAGAATTTTCATTTATTCATTAGTTGAAGGTTAATTTAATATATAAAGCAGAGAAATTTTGTTTTTAGCATTACATTTTAAACTATTATATTAAAATATTTATCTCCAATTAAATTCTAGATTAGTTGATTCTTCTAGTTCTGATTATTCATATTATTTATTTTCTATTTTTGCTTTAATCCATAAAATGTTATATTTTCCTAATTCACATTTAGATTCTTCCTTAAAAAATTGTTCATTTTTTTAAGTGATTTAAAAATCAACTTTGAGTGATGAAATCAATTATTAGAAATAAGTATATGCTGGTATATCTTTAAAATTGTAATCAATGAATTCCTATTATTTAATGTTAAATAATTCATTTTTACAATCATGTAGTATAATTACTTATAAGTATAGATAATAAATATATTATATGGCATATAAAGGATTTTCTTTTAATTCTTAATGTATATTAAAAACCCATATTTCTTCATGAATAATTTCTTATTCTTCTCTTTCCATACCAGGACTTAATTAATTAAAATTAAATTAACTTGGACTTAATTCTTATGCTTCACTCAAAATTTCAGGTAATTTGTATTTATGCATAATTTTTTGTTATGTTTCAATTACTGTTGATATTGTTAATTTTGCATATTCATAATGCTCTATAAAATATTATTGCAAAGTAAATAAAGCATAAAATTAATTTAAAAATCTATTTACTTGTTATTCAAAAACTAAAATATTGTCAATAAGATTTAGATTTTTTCTTAATTAAATAAGTAAGGATTATCTTTACTTAGATAATAATTAAGAAAATTATTCTACATCACTTTATATTGTTTTAAGAATTATACATTATTCTGTTTGATTTAAATTTGCTACATTAATATTTGATGTCAGTTATTTTATAATAAGTCTTAATTCAAATGATAATTTTTTTAGAATTTCAATAAAATAATTCAGTTATCTAGTTATATCTAATTTTAATTGAAGCTTTGTTGCTATCTAATAATAATATATTAATATCAAGTCGAGATTTCTTTTAAGAGAATGTGATGAGAGTAAATAAGAATTTAAATCTTCTAATAATTGAATACAAAAATAAGAAAAAATGTTTTCATTTATCTCAAACACCTCTTTCTTTATATAATCTTCAAATTCTTAAGTTAAATGTAAAGTATCTTGAAATTATTTCATTCTAAAATTTAAATTTACTTTATGAAGCATTGACCATGTAAATCCTTAATAAGTTAATCCTTAGCTTGATTATTATTTTTAATGATGTTCAATTTCAAATTTAATATCAGTAAAACAATATTATTTTTGTATAAAATCTTATAATTTTTGAAGATTATCTTCTAAAAATAATAATTCATTAATTAACCATTTTAAAGGATGTTATAATTTATCGAAATAAGGTTTAATATCATCAATCTCTTCTAAATATATCATTTATAAAACAATTTTCCCTAATTCAAAAAAAGAATGAGTCTTGTTCATTGAATTTAATATGTGATATTCTCCTTTGATTAAGAAAATAGTTCTACTCGATAAACTTTTAAAATCAGCTACTTTTAATAGATTTAAGGAAGCATGAAGAAATTATTTGATTTCAGCTTCTGAATATGGTATTCCATAAGTTTTTCGATATTTTAATACTTGTAAAAAACTCTTTGGTTCAAAAGCATTATAAATACATATACAGTAACCCTTGATATAAAAGTCATCTATTTGATCTACAAGATTGACCATTCTATAATAGGTTTTACTTTCAGTATATAATATACCTTCATGATTATCTGTGTACTTTTAGAGTTGAATCTGTTCTCCATGCTTTATTTAGAAAAACTACAATAAAGAAATTGTTTCTGATTAACCAAGTTTGACTACCCAGATATTATCATGTATATATTTGATGAATTAAATTTATGGAATAGGGAATTATTCAATTTAAAAATAAGAGAGTATAATATCTTCTAGAAAAGTTGTTGTTTTCTAAAAAATAGAAGAATCCTTGCATTAATCAACTATATTTTTATATTCAGCTGATTTCATTTCTTCAATATAATAATTTGATGAATTATTTCTTTTAGAACTTAAAGGTAGAAACCATTAAACTTTTTATCTTATAATTAAAATATAAAAATTACTTTAATTCTATACGATTGAAAATCTCAATAAAATCAATGAATTTTATTTTTTCTAAATTTGAATAATCAATTTAAGAATCTAATTCTGGTTATAAAGGATTTTCTGGTTCAAGATCTTCAATAATTTAAGAAATTTTATAAAATTCTTAAATTAATTATATTGATGGTTTCTTAACTACTTGTTTTCTAAATCCCTTAAAAGTTAATGCTTTTATTTTTAGCATAATTACTTTTCTTGTATTTAACCATGAATGTTTTTCAACATATTTCTGTTATTTCTTAACTAAATTTGTATATTCTATATTTTCTTCTCCATTTTCATCTTCTTATTATCCAATTAATTGAAAATCCTTTCTAAATCTTTGTTAAGCTTTTTCATCATAATAAGTTCTCATTTAATTAAGTTTTTATGAGATTATAAAATATCTTCTATAATCTAAATTTCTTAATTAAATTATTTTCCTTCTCATATGAATAAATCTTTGAGATATTCTTCTATCTGTCCAAAGTTATCTATATTTTGTTAAAAGTTATGCTTTATATAATAAAGAATATATTTTTTATAATAATCTAAACTTTTATTTTTCTGTTTAATCCTTAAATACACATTTGAAAGCCCAATTTTATTCTCTTTAACTAAAATACTCTAGAATTTTAGTTAATTGAAATTCTCCTAAATACTGTTTATCTAAATTTTTAGTATAAGATTCAACTTTAATAAGTTCCAATTTTTGTTTGATTTCTGGAATTTCATAATGATCATGTAATTCATCATCAGAACTAATAGTTTCGAATTTTCCTGATTCTGCAGAATTTAATGTTCCATAAACCTTTAAAATAGGAAATCTTTTAAAAGCTTCTTTATTTTCTTGAGATTTTCCTTCTTTAATTTTATTTTGAATAGTTGCTTTAATTAAATATTTATGTCTTTTCATTAAGTCACTTAAAGCATCTGGTATTTATCCAAATATTATACCAATTATAAACTTTCCAAAACAATTAAATATTAAAACAGATAAAAATACCATAATAAGTTCATAGCCATATTATTTATTATATTAAATTGTTACAACACCAGTATTTGTTAATAAACAAAGTAAACTGATAATTTCTAAGAAATTATTCCAAATTCCTAAAGAACATTCATTTTTTGGCCATGGTCTTTATAAAAAATATAAGAAAGTATTTTTCTTTACTTAAATTTACATAATATTTGATATCCATAAAATAAAAAAACTAAATGGAAAAGTATATCCAAAAATACTTAAAAATGATATCAATACAAATAATTCCATATAATCTTACATTGTACCATATCTCTCGAAATCTTACGAATAAGGTTATCTTGATGATTACTCTTCAACAAAATCCATTATATCATTTTCATTATAATCATAACTTTTAATTTTAATTCTCGTTAGTTTAAATAAAAATACTACAAATTTCACAATTTATTTAAATAAAATTAAAATTACAATTGTTGAAAAATAATATTTAACATGTCTTTCACAATTTGTAATTGAACAATATAATTTAAGTGGTTTATTTAAGTAATCTAAAAATAAAAGTGGAGCTATATAAGAGAAAAATTAAAAAATAAATTTTTTTAAAACAAAGCTTGTTTCATATGCTTCAACAGTTTTGTAATTCTCATATTCAGTTAATTAGCTAGAGATTTTATCAAAGATATTATCTATAATTAATTAAACTATAAAGTTCATGGCTGCAGCTGATGTAACTTCTATTGTAGCAACATCTAAGTATTCAAGTTCCTCTGAATATTAATTATGTAAATAGACTGTAAATACAAATAAGGAAACTATGATACCAATATAAAATAATATAAAAATTAATAGTAACATAGAACTAATCAAAGTTCTTTTCAAATATTCACCAAATAATACTTCAATTGAGTTTAATTAGTCATTAACTAAGGATCTTATGTGTTTACCTTTAAATTTAGATCTTTATACTTATTATTCATCTTAATTATTTTAACCATATTTTAAATTAAAATAGATTTGTTTCTATTTCCATAAATCTGTAAACACATTGCTCCATTAAATTTAAACAAAGGAAAATATAATAGTAATCAATATATAAAAGTCACTTTCATTATCCCAAATTATCCATTAAATCAAACTACAAGCAAGACCTGAAAAAGCTAAGGGTGTAGTCATTTCAGTGAAATAACTCATAAAATAAAAATAGAGACCAATTTTTTCTCCATAATATCCACAAATTAAATCACAAGGACTAATCCAAGGTTTCATATAATCAAGTTTCCATTCATCTATCAATTAGAATGGTTTCTTCTTAAAAAATCTTGTATCCAATGTTATCTAAGCCTATATATTACTACATTATCCAAATAATTCATAATGATCATTAAGACAGAATATCTATCTAATGATACCTAATTAATGCATTATACTAAGATCTAATTCTTAAAATACTTTCTAATAAACTAATTTTAACCTCTCTTAAGAAGAAAATAACGATATCTCATAGTTTTCATTCTTAACATATTTTGTCCAACTTAATTCTTGTTTTGCTTAATTAGTTTTAGTATTTTATTTGTTAGGCATTTAATAAGGATGATACATATCAAATGGGGGTATTTCTGATCTTTCCCATAAATTATATAATTTTATTTATTCACCATTTGCAACTCTAAGAGCTTCTTAAAATGAATAGAGATAATTTAAAGTAACTGATTCTTTTTTTAATAATTTTAATGCTTTTACTTTAGGAATTTATAATGAAAATTAAAAATTAGAAAATTCATCCATAACTCTTTCAGCCTATTTCTCAATATTATTTATTATTTCTAAATGCTCATAATTTTTAGGTTCATTTATATTTTAGTAATTAAGATTTTGAATTTCTTTATTTAATTAATTTCGTTTCTAATAAATTTATAGAGGAGTTATTTATTTATTAAGTAAAGATGCTAATTCATTATCTATTAATTAACTTTATCTAAATTATCTAATACATTTTTCTAAATGAGTCAAATATTTATGATATGCTATCCATTCTTCATCAGTTGGACCATCATCTTTCTCACTAAAATCTAATTTTCCATATTCAAATAATTATGAATTTATTGAACTTTGATTTGTTTCTCTGGCTATTCTTTTGAAATTAATCTATTAAATTAATTTAATCATTTAAGGTTTTAAATATAAAAATAAATCTGAAACATCATAATCTTATGATTTCCAAAGTCTATTATTAATTCTTAATGGTCTAAAAGATTTATCAACAGGTTCTAAAGAAAATAAATCTGTAAACCAAAAATTTAGTTATTTTAATACATGACCTTAATCAGCAACTATTTTAAGGTTTGAATCTTGCATATTAAGCATAACAAAGATCTTTTGTCCATCTCCAGATATAAATGATTAAAGATTAAAACCAACTTTATTAAGCTTAATAATCAAAGCATTTCTAATTAATGTAGAAACATCTTAAGTAGGAGAACTTGTTCTAAGCCATAAATCATTTTGATTTTCTAAATATTAACCACCTTTCCATTTTTTTAAAGGTGTCTATTTTAATTCCTTAAAATTTAAGGTTAATAAATCCATAATATTTGCATGTATATCTTATTAAAGCAAATTATGTAACTATTTTTCTAATTAAGATACATAATTCTTTATTATTTCTATCTAATTATGTTAAAGTACCATTTTTGTCAATTTGGTTATACCTAATGTCTGATTTGTCGGCCAATAAAATTTGTTTTTGGTGATCTTTATCTTTTATGTTTCTTTATTCTTGATTATCTTCGGTAAAAAGAGCTGTGGATTCCTTTTTTTTGTGATATTAATGATCATATACAGGCAAATTAAAATATATCGATTCAATAGCTTTCAATAATAAAAGATCATCTATTGATTTTTAATTGATTCTTAATCCTTATTGAAGTAATTCAAATAATTCTATGCTAGTATTAATCAAATATTAATTTTGATTCTCATTCTTATATTTATAGTCTGGGTTTATTAAACTAATTAAAATAATTATTTATAAAGAAACCTAATGATGCAGTCAGGAAATATTTCAATATTTTCTTTAAGGTTTTTTTTGAAATTCATTAGAATATAATTATAATTAAGGTCTTCCTCTTCCTCTAATTCAAATCCTAACAATATTTTTATAAATGTTTTATATATTTCTAAATGCTTCTATAAAACCTCACATTTCTTTTAAAATCGTGATTTCTTAGGTATAATCATAGTTGATTTTCTCTTCAGGAAATCTTTCCTTTAGTAGACATCATGAGATGACATTAAAATATATAAAATATTTATATTTATAATTTAATTTTCAATTTTTTCAACTGATATTAACTTTTCATACAGAATTGCTCATTAAATTTCAATAAAAATATATTAAATAATAATATTTTAATAAAACTTATAAAAAATATTATTCATTTTTAATCAATAAGATGAGAAATTCATTCTTATTTTGGCTAATCATAATAAATTTTATATCAAATACTAAATTTTACTTATTGATTTAAGAAGAAATAATGATTAAAAAGCAATTTATTTTATTAAAACTTTAATATTGTATAGTTAATAAATAATTATTCATAAAAGATCTTAAATAATCGTTTTTTGGTTTAAATAGTGTAAAAGGCAGATAAAAAAATATTCAAATATTAATAATATATTAATTTTTAACAAATTACTGAGACAAAAATGATACATGAAAAAGCCTAAATGATCTTTTAAGGTAGAAATAGTTACATTTTTTTAAGAGAATCATGAATCGCCAATGTTTTTCTCAAAGCAAACATAAGTGTCCATATTTTTGTAAGAGAGTGTCGATGAGTACCCATAAATATGTAAAAAAATTTAATCATATCTGAGTAGCTGCATAAAATAATGATTATGATGAAATTAATCATGAATTAAATAATTGCTATTGCCATGAATTACCAGTTTTAGGGTTAAAGAAGCCAAGAAAGAAGAGAAAAAGATAACCTAATTATGATAAGAAAAGGAAAAGAAGATAATCAAAAAATTAGGTAAAAATTAATATAAATCAAGTAGATTACAAAACTTTAATAATCCATCCCATTCTCTCCATAAGAGGACAAAGCAATATTACTTTATGTTTTACATTTTGGTCCTAAGTTCATGAGTATAGCAAAATATTTCCCAACAAAAACAATCAATATGGTAAAAAATAGATATTATAAAATTTTACGATATTAATGGGATTCAATTTTAGGAGAGTATGAATTCATCTAAAATAGATCGTATGCTTATCTAAATTAAGACATAGAATCTAAAATAGAGGAAATTAATCATAATAATTGTAGAGATGAAACTTAGAGTTTCAGAGATAAAAATATAAATCTCTAATTATTATGTTAGAGTTCAGAAATGTGAATATTTATTTATTATTTGATATATAATATCCCACAAAATTTGTTCAGTTATCAATTTTAGAATTATATTCATATTCAAAATGGCTATACTTTAATTCGAGTATCATTCAATACTACTATTAATAGAAAATAGATTAAGATTTCAAAATAAGAATTAGTATTTTATAACTTCTGGATCAGATCTAATTATTTTTATTTTTAATTGCCGCCTAAACAATTCTGATTTTATAAGCCTTTAGTATATATTTTTTTTAATTAATTATTTTATATTTTTTTACAGCGTTTTTTCACTTGATTACTACAAGAAAATATTCCTCTTTTCAATATATTTGAAAAGAAATAACAATATTTCTGTATTTATTTAAAAGAAGCTTTGAATTTTATTTATAAATTCCAATTATCTATATTATTTATTAGGGATCAATAAATATTAATTTACTATTTGTTATTTTTAAAGAAAATAATATAATTATTAATATTAATAGTTATAAGCAAATTGAAATTGGCTACTTGCTCTAATCTCATTTAGTTTATGTAAACTTATAAATCATATTCCAATTATTATACTATAAAAAATTCAGATGATTATTATTTCTATAAAGTACATTTAATTATAGAATAAAAAATCCTTTAAGCTCTTTATATTGGATTATTTTTCAGTAGCATCAAAGATAAATAACATATCTGAAAAAAATTGAAGAATGAATATAAATTTATTTATTTTTATTAAAAAGCATTATTAACAAAAAATATCCTTATGTCTAAAATCTTATTTAGTATGTAATCCAGCTGCTAGGAATACATTCCCACATTTAGCTAATTCTTATTGTTAAATAAAGTTACAAATTTTATTGCTTTTATATTTAACTGATACAAAGACTAAGTAATAATATAGATTAAATCTATTTATAATTTTTTATTGCTATATTTTGATATTAGATATGGATAGATTCAGCAATTATAAAAAGAATTAAATAAAATAACTTAAGAAACACTATTTTAATAAAAATTGTTTAAATAATTTGTTATGGTATGTCAAATGTTAAGAAAATAAAAATAAATCCGAATTTTTTGAATATTTATTTAGTTATTGTATTTGTAATTATTTGAAAAATTAAGTCTAAAGCTAAAATTTTAAATATCAGTGATCGTCTTAAATAGAGCAGTCATTATGAGTTTATAATTTCTTAATATTCTATACTATAATAATTAAATATTAAATTTAATATTCTCTACTTTTTATAGTTAATTTCCAAATCAAATTAGAAGCTTGTCCAATACTTAAATTATAATACACAATTAATTGTATTTGAATTCTATTAAAATTTGAGATAATATATTTAAATGTTTTACTGGGAAGGTTTTATTATAATTTAATATTTGGAGAATTTGAATAGTTAAAATTCTTTTTACAAAAATTACTGATATATTTAATTAAACAATTTTCACTCATAATATTCCTTTTTAATATATCAATTGAGTATATTTTTAAAAGTATATAAATAAAGTCTCTTCTCAAAGTTATATAAAATCAATTAAATTTATAAATATTCTTTACTAACTGAATAGAGTTTGTAAAAATTAATATTTGATAATTTGTTTTTAAATAAAGATTGAAATAATCATCATTTTTGTGGTTTATATGCTTTTAACAAATATTACTTAATTTTATTTATATTTGAGATGCAAGAAACAAAATCTTACGATGAAATTTCGTTATCTCAATAATCAAAAGAAATTGATGAAACATCCAATGAAAATTAGCCTATACTCATTTATTTAGATGGTCCAGTACCATCTTAAACAGATAGTTTAGATTTAGTTTTATAATGTCTTCCTAAAACAAAAAAAAGAATCGCAAGAAGAAAAAAATATGATTTTCACACTAAGAAAAGAAAAAAAATGAATAAAAAAAATCTAAATTTTGAAAAACACACTCCATTTACTTTTGAGGAAGATGAAAAAATCTTAAATCTCGTAATAGAGCATGGTCCAAGATTTTAAATAATTTCTAAGTTTTTTTTAGATAGAAGTTAAAATGCTGTAAAAAATAGGTATTATAAGTTTTTACGATATCATTGGGACTTAATTCTTGGAAGGTAAACTTACATATTATTTTTTTAGTAATTATCAACATTTTAATTATGTTATGGAGGACGACATCCAATACTAAGAAAAAAGTGAAGAATTAAACAATTTTTTAGAAAGCATGAATTTGTATCCAGAAGTAACAAATATAATGCGTAACCTTATTACTCAAGTTGATAATCATTTTAGATGAAATATAAGTTTTATATTGTTTTATTCACGTGTTGAATCAATGATTATGACAGAAATATTATTTCAATATATATATAAAAGTAAAGAAACGCATTCAGAATAGTTTGTATTATCGATATGTTATATACAATTTAGAATTCGTTTTAATTAAAATTCATTTCTTCTTTAATTGAGAAGTTGAAAGATCAGCTCCAACACTTTTTTCAAATCAAAAGCAACTGACTTGATCGTAAAGCTGTACTAAATATAATACTCTTATTTTAATTTCAAATATATTTTTATAAAATAAAGATTCCATTAATTTATATGATTTGTTGTTATCAGATAAATTTTACTCTGAACTTATCAAAAATAATAAAGCTGAATTAAATTATCAACTAATTAGCTTTTATATATAATTATTACTTGAATAATTTAAATTAATTAAAAATACTATGATAAATTAATTATTCAAAAATAAAAATTCAATTTTTGTTAATTAATAGATAGTGGTGCATAATTAAATTAAAATCATTACTCTTTCTTAAGCTACACCCTTAAGTTGGGAGTTCTTGGAGAGACAATAGACGATACATAAGGAGGTTATCCATTAAATTAATGTATATGTTCATATCCAAAGAATTATTCTATGATTTTTGGAATATTTACATTACACTTGTTCTGAATGGAGAATTGATTAATCTTCAAGAGATTCAAGTTGATTAGATTTTAGATAATTATCTGATTTTTCATCAGGAATAAAAGGAGATTTTATAAGTTTCTTTTCATAATCTGTCCATTTGATATCTTTTAACCATGGATGATTTTTAACTTCATCTGGCCCATTACATCCTAATCTTGATTGAGGTTTCCTTAACATTAAAGCATTTGCAAAATTAATGGCTTCAGCACTCCAACCCTATGGAACCTCTGTAATAGCAGCTTATTTGGCAATAATTTAATCTCGAATTTCTTGTCTACTCTTTCCATTATAAGGTCTTTTTCCAAGCTAAAATAGTAAAAATAATTTACAATACACTCATGCATTATTATTCCTAAGGCAAAGTAATCAACAGCAACTCCATGATTCTATCTGCACATAACTTCAGGAGCCATGTAACCAGGAGTACCACTTGTTTCATGACTATTTTATGGTTTCCATATTCTGGCAATTCCAAAATCAGTAATTCTTAAATAGCCTTAGCTATCGAATACTAAATTTTCTGGTTTAATATCTCTATGTATAATGCCATTAGAATGTATATAATCTAATCCAATAATTATGCAAATTGCAATATGTTTTGTAATTGCCTCAGAGAATTTTCGAAATTTGCATAAATGAAATCTTAAATCTCCTCCAGCTAAGAAATCCATGGCTAAATACAAGGAACAACGATCTTAAAAGGCACTGATAATATTTATTATAAATCTAGAATTATCTAGATATATTTACTCATGTCTTAGGGTTGATAAGATTTATAATTCATTCATAACTGAACTCACACTCTTTTTCTTTATTACTCTTCTAATATATATAAATAGGTACCTAACTTTTGACATAATTTTTAGCGCTACAACTAGATTCAGAGTTTTTATTAGTCTTGCTTTATATACTTTACCAAATCCTCCTTAGCCAACTACTGATATTAATTCAAAATTTGTTAGTGTCATTTCTATATATATTCTTTTCTATAATACATGAATCATCACTTGATCCCCTAAATTTAAACTCGCAGCCTCCCATTAACTAAACCTGGATATTTTATATATAAAAATATAATTAATACCAATTAAGAATTACATAAAATAATAAATGATACTTATTAATTGGTTTAGATATCAAAAGTATAAGACGTTTTTATTTTATTAATTTTTATTTTCATCTATATGTCTTATATTCAAGTTTTTATATAGAAAAAATAATTATTAAATATAATGAATTATTTTTACTGCTTTCATAAAAATATAATAAATATATTATGGTAAGTACTATCATGAAATTATGATCAAATGATGAAATAATTGTGATGGTAATCTTATTAATAAATAAATAACTTAACATTCAAAATTTTAATCTTGATATTAATAATTGGTGGCAATCTAATATAGTTGAATATATAACAAAAATATGTACAGAGTAAATATTTGAAAATACAATCATTATTGATTGTATAATATTTTATATGGGATACTGATAATCTAAAAGAATTCTAAAAATTTTCTAATTAAATTAAATGTTCTAGACTACTTTGATTTACCCAAAAAGCACCTAAAATCAGAATGATATAAATAATATTCTTATAGAAATAGTGAAATTATGAATCAAGACTTAAGAAAAATTGTTCTTAATTGACGAAGTAATAATTAATCATCTTTATATATATATATTAATATTAGAAACTACAATCAATACTTTTGATTATAGAAAAATTATGATATGATATAAAATAATATAATATAAAACTAATTCATTTACCAGGAGGAAAGGGATTTGGTTTAGATTAAGTATAATCATCAGCAAAATAATGATTTACATCTTTATGATGTTCTTCATCTTTTCTTATTGCTTTTACAACATCCAAAAGGGTGGCATCCTTTTCTAATCCCCAGTATTCAATAGAATGTTCATTGGCCTTACGAGTAGTCCATGAATGAATAGGACTTCCTTCTCTTTCTATTTCATGAATCATATGGGTATAAGTTTTAACTGCTTCTTCTTCTAAGTATCCAACAATCCTATGACAGACTCTAGGCCAGAACATATATGCCACTCCAAATAGTGCAACATACCAAGTCTAAGCTAAAACAACACCAGTTCTGAATATTAATGAGGGTTTTTTGATATTTAAAAAAGTCAACAAATGAATTCTCTCATTTTCTGCTTCTTCTAGTAAGGTATGAATCCATCCTTAATCTCTCTTCATTCCTCTCAATGATCTTAAATGTCTATGCATACCAGCTACAAATCCTGGGACTCCAGCAACAGTCTCCAAAAATAGAACTCTATTGATCCATTTCTTTTCAGACACTAATTCTGATTAAAATGGAGCAATCTTTTTATATCCACTCATAACATCAAAGCCAACTCTCATTGATTGAATAAAGTAATAGGCAAAATGATCTCCAAAAGTAAGTGCTGGTTTATGTTCCAAGCTAACTTGTTCTAGTTCTGGCTTATTCCAGATAGGATGTGGCATAGTATAGTTTTGGGTTGCTTTAGTTTAGATAGAGAATGATTTTTGAATGAGCTTACTTAAGTGTCTATTCATTTAATTTTTAATTCAGGTTTAATAAAGCTTTTAGTTAAGAATATTTAATTTAATTCGTATTATAAACGATGTAATTATTATTTTATGATGCAAATCACACAATATTAATTGTTAATATATTATAATAATTGATAATTTTATAAAAATAGGCTAAATATGTTACCAATTTTAATAAAAATGAATAATTATATAAACCACAAATAATTTATTAATATTTATAAAATTTTATATATAAAAAAGGTAAAATAATTTATATGTTTTGTTTTCTAATATTGAATAATGAATAATTCATTCAAATGAGGACAACCAAGATTATAAATGACATAATTGATAGAATCCAATTGGAAGCACATTATTGACAAGTATTTGTCACCCAATGATAGGAACCGAAAGTTACATCATTGCAAGTTTATTCATTCAAATGAGTTGCATCAGTAGCAGTTGTGCATTTATTATCAGCACCCCATTTACATAAGATGGATTTTTTGTTGTCAATCTTTGGTAAAGATGTACATTATGCCTATGTAGTAATATCTGAACATGATCTATTAACACATAATTATCCATCTTTCTTACAATATTTTGGATCACACATTTAATTAAATCCATCAGCATCTCTACATGTTTTCAATTCAAATGCATAACATTTACCATCACTTTTCCATTAACATTTTGCAGTTGCAGTTGCATCTCCTTTACATGTAGCTTCTGTCACAAATTTAGTACAATCAACATACACTTTATTTTCACATTAAAATCCAGCTGCAACAGCTAAATGTTTGTAAAATAATGTAGTTACACTAACACCTTTTGGTTAGCATCTTTCTCCATTTTCACCTTATAAGACAGAGCATCTTTCTGCCTTTGTTACAATGAAATCTGAACATTGAGTAAATTCAATGCATTTGTTATCTTTCCAACCACATCCAGCAAAATTTGAACAACTTTCTTCATTTGGCATATCTTCACATTCTTTTTCATCATCAACACACTTTCCACCTTTCCATTAACATTCTCCATGGCATTTATCTTCTGTTGTATAATCAGTGCATTCTTTTTCAAGACAAGATGATTCATTCCATTTACAATCATACCATTTATCACATTCTGTTTTGATAAATGATGGACATTCACATCTTTTTGATTTATTGATAATAATATCAGCAGAGGCAAACCCAAACAAGACAATTAATAATATCAATTGGATATTTTTCATTAATTAAAATTAAAGATATTTTTCATTTTCATTACGCATTTAATTGATAAAATTTACTATTAATAGGTAAGTTTATAAATAGAAATTTGTATATTTTTTTATTAAATTAATGTTTTCTTAAGTTTAACTAAAGCCTTAAATTTCTTAAAATTTTTTTATTTATACTTGTCAATTTATAATTAAAGGATCTGTATTATATAGTATTATTGATTAAATAAATCGGTTGTTTCAATTTAATTTATATACATTTTATAATTTATGAAAATATTAATACCTAAGACAGAAAAAAGCATATGAATTTTATTAGATTTATTTTAGATTCAAAAGATTATTAATAATCTGAAGAATGAAAGAATAAACCAGAAAAATTAAGAGCTCTTTTAAAATAATTAAACAATGAAGTTGGAACTTATTTATCAAAAAAAAACCAAATAAAAGTATATTTAAAAATAATATAGATCAATTATAGATTCCTAACATGGATGTCTTATAAAAAGAATAAATAAATAATGTTGAGATTATGAAAAGATAAAAATTTTATTCAATTAACAATAGAAAAGATTAATTATATTAGAATAAAAAAATATGAGAATAGATCTAGTATATAAAATATCTTAATGTGAACAAATTATAAAAATGCTTAATAAATTGAAACTAAGAAGAAAATCACTTAAAATAAGAAAATAAAATTACTTAAATTGAAGAATAAGATGGTGTTTCTAATCTTTAAAATGAAATGTAATATAAATTAAAATATTTAACAACAAAGCCAATATATAGAAAAATCAATTCAAGAATATCAATTAAAAAAATTACTTGTCGATCTAATTAATTGAAAATTAATAAAAAAAATCATAAAAGCATTCAGAATATTAGTCCTAAGTGAGAGATAAGGTCATTTTTAAAGAATAATAAAGTGCTATTATTTTAGAATCGGATATTTAATTAGAATAATAATACTTAAAAGCTTAGTTAAAATTATGAAAATATGAAAGACATAAATAAATTCTTGAAGAGAAATATTAAGTTGATTAAAAATTACTCAAATAGGATATTCAACAAAAATAAAAATAATTAATGGAGCTTGAAAATTTTATAATTAAAATTCATATGGAAATTATTTAAATTAACCAAACTTGTTTAAGATTGAAAGAATTTTAAATGAAAAGATCATCATAAATAAGTTAAAGAATTAAGTAATCATAATAGTTTAATCAGTCATCATTTTAAGGTTAGGATTATTATTAATCAGATAATAAATTATAAATTGTATCTAACAGCTTTTATAATATTAAATAAATTGGTAATTCTAATGTTTAAGCAGACATTCAAAAAATAAATAAACAATAATTTTCACCCATATTGGAAGATTTTAATCATTAATAATAATAGTAAAATATAATTAATAATGATATCGTCAATGTAGATACATTACAGTTATAGATTGGAATTGAGGAAAATATAGTTATACAGAAATTTAAAGCCAAGAAAAAGTTGAAAAATAGTAAGAATATCAAAAATTATAATAACAAATTTACTCTGAATGAATGGTATTAATTTTTTAACATTTCACAACATCCCCTTCTATTTTTTTTGAATTTTTCTTATATAATTTGTGTTAGTTTTTTAAGCAACTTATTTATAAATTAATGAAGTCTCTTTAATTAAATGAAGTCTAAGAAATAGGATGAATCTAATATGTCCTCTTTTAAATCTTCTTCAAACTATTGAATCCTACTCTTTATAAATTGTTTAAAAAGAAAATTCATTTATTTTTATCTAGAAATTCATCAATAGATCAATATATGACTTTTTTTAATTATCTANTAAAATATCTTAATGTGAACAAATTATAAAAATGCTTAATAAATTGAAACTAAGAAGAAAATCACTTAAAATAAGAAAATAAAATTACTTAAATTGAAGAATAAGATGGTGTTTCTAATCTTTAAAATGAAATGTAATATAAATTAAAATATTTAACAACAAAGCCAATATATAGAAAAATCAATTCAAGAATATCAATTAAAAAAATTACTTGTCGATCTAATTAATTGAAAATTAATAAAAAAAATCATAAAAGCATTCAGAATATTAGTCCTAAGTGAGAGATAAGGTCATTTTTAAAGAATAATAAAGTGCTATTATTTTAGAATCGGATATTTAATTAGAATAATAATACTTAAAAGCTTAGTTAAAATTATGAAAATATGAAAGACATAAATAAATTCTTGAAGAGAAATATTAAGTTGATTAAAAATTACTCAAATAGGATATTCAACAAAAATAAAAATAATTAATGGAGCTTGAAAATTTTATAATTAAAATTCATATGGAAATTATTTAAATTAACCAAACTTGTTTAAGATTGAAAGAATTTTAAATGAAAAGATCATCATAAATAAGTTAAAGAATTAAGTAATCATAATAGTTTAATCAGTCATCATTTTAAGGTTAGGATTATTATTAATCAGATAATAAATTATAAATTGTATCTAACAGCTTTTATAATATTAAATAAATTGGTAATTCTAATGTTTAAGCAGACATTCAAAAAATAAATAAACAATAATTTTCACCCATATTGGAAGATTTTAATCATTAATAATAATAGTAAAATATAATTAATAATGATATCGTCAATGTAGATACATTACAGTTATAGATTGGAATTGAGGAAAATATAGTTATACAGAAATTTAAAGCCAAGAAAAAGTTGAAAAATAGTAAGAATATCAAAAATTATAATAACAAATTTACTCTGAATGAATGGTATTAATTTTTTAACATTTCACAACATCCCCTTCTATTTTTTTTGAATTTTTCTTATATAATTTGTGTTAGTTTTTTAAGCAACTTATTTATAAATTAATGAAGTCTCTTTAATTAAATGAAGTCTAAGAAATAGGATGAATCTAATATGTCCTCTTTTAAATCTTCTTCAAACTATTGAATCCTACTCTTTATAAATTGTTTAAAAAGAAAATTCATTTATTTTTATCTAGAAATTCATCAATAGATCAATATATGACTTTTTTTAATTATCTACACGTTGATACATTTTATATAAGAAATTTCATGCTTTAAACAAATGTTGATTTAAATTATAAATGAGTTTTGGATTTAATTTAAATAATAAAAACAACACAGAGTTACTTTTGTTATTCTATGTCTATTGATATTGAAAGTTTATGTTAATGTTTATATGATTATCAATATAATTTAGCTGCTATTTCAATTATAGAATTTGATAAATCAATATAAATTCAGTTAATTAATTAAATAATATTTATAGTTGGATTAAATTTACAAATTTAAATAATTATTGTACACCTGCTTAATAAGAAGAATCTAAAGTTCAATTAATCTATATTGAACTTTATATATTTAGATATAATAAATGTTAATAACACTATAAATATTTGGATTTTTATAATAAGAATATATACTATTTATAAGTTTTTGAGAGAAAAAATAATTGTTGGATATATATTTTTTTTAAATAATCAATATTCTCATTTATATTAATCTTATAACTTTGAGCTTTCAGGAATAGATAAAAAAGTTTGAGGCTATAATTAAAATACTTAAGTTGGATCAAAGTTTTCTGGAGTTTTATACGAAAAGTATCCCATTTAAAATCTTTACTGATCTGTTTATAAATTAATTGATCCATCACTTTGGCTGAAAGTTTATTATTAAATCTGATTAATAGGCATAAAATAATTATAAAAGTATGGATTTTTCATGTTAGAAGGGTTAGGCTAAATAGCCATAGGCACTTAAAATTATGAAATAGCCTAATCTTAATAATGGTAATTAAATATATATAATGGTATGAATTAAGGGAATAAAGGTTGATATTGTTAGGTATTAGAATTTTTGTTTAAATTTTATTCCTCTTATTATATATATTACTATCCTATCACAATTTATTTTGATTTATAGAGATCAGAAACATCAAAAAATTAATCGGCATTCGTTTATTTTTAAGAATATTATTAGTCTTATTACTTATTATCTTCTGAATTTTATACTTAACATATATTTTATTCTTCTAATTTCTTTCTTTTTTCGATTTAATTTTCTAATTTTATTTTTTTCTCAATCTCATCTTACATTATTCTTTCCTTTTCTTTCTCTTTATCTATTTCTGTCTATCTTTATTTTTCTCTTTCTCTTTCTCTTTCTAATTCTAATAATCTTCTAATTCCTATTTTTCTCTCTTTTTCTATTTTTCTTTAATTTTATTTTGCTAATTATCTTGTGATTCTTAAAAAATTATATCTCCATTTTTATATTTTCTTTTGGTTTTCATTAAAAAATTATTGAATTTTTTTTAATCGGGTATCACCTTCTTCTGAATTCTAATTCTCTTCATTTTTTTAAAACTTAAATTTATCTAATACATTTTTCTTATTCTGATTATATTCTACCTATTAAGTATATTCAAAATTTTAACCATTATGTTCACTCTTATTTTCTGGAAAATTTTTTTAATTTTTATGGTTTTTTCTTTATTTTTTCTGTTATTCAACAAAAAATTAATTATAATAATAATTTTCAATAATTTGACAACTATCTTCTTCAGATGTATTATTTTAAGGATAATTTTGTATTTAATTAAAATCAATTTTAGTAATTTCGACATCTTATATATTTTTAATCATTCCTTATTTTTCATTTGGAGACTACACTTCCTATTCATTCTTTCTTTAAAATGGTTAAATATTTTATGTCATTTCTTATTCTTCTTTTTATATTATATCTTTTTGATCAATTATAATAATTTCTTGATTTTGTATATCATTAAAAATATGTAATTTTTTTTACGGATAAGTATTTTCTTATTATAACTTTTATTTTTATAATAATTTTTTTTGATTTTACATATTTTCTAGATCAATTTTACAAATTAGGTCCTTAAAACTAATTTTCTTTGTCTTATTATTGAGTTCAGGTTCTTTTTCTGAATCTTCAATCAAAAATTGAGGTGATTTTTTTAAACTCACCTCAATTTTTTCATTTTTAAGTAAACATAAATTATCCTAGACTTTTGTTTCTTGAATAGAATCTAAGACCTGTATTTTAATTTCTTTATTATCTGTATTATATTCTTCTAAATTTTAAAAATTCAACAAAAAATCAGTATTTATAATTATTTTTATTTCTGTTGTATTTTAGTTTTCCAAATTGAATTTTACAATTTAAGTTTAAAGAGTAGGAATTTGATTGAGATTAAATATATGTTTCTCTTATTGTTTTTATAACTTTATTCTTTTAATTTTTTTTATAAATAAATTAAATTTATGTAATTTTAATTACAATGCCGTAGATCTTTTTATTCTTTTTGACTTATCCCCCCTTATTTTAGTATATTGTGGCTTTTTTCTATTATTTTCAATTTTTAATTAAGTTAGGTCTCTACTTAGTAGTTCTTAAAAAATCACCTAAAATAGTTCCTTAGTTTCATTTGATCTACATAATTTTTCATGTTTTTAACAGATTTCTGAATAAATATCACTTTCATATTATATTAATGGTCCCCTTTTAATCAAAGCTTTTCTATCTGACTCAGGGTAATAAAAAGAATCCTTTTGAATCTATTCCTACTTTTCATTTACTAATTTAGATAGATTAAGCCTACTTTTAGATTTATTTGTTGATCTTAACTCCTCTATTTTACCATTTTCCATCAAATATTAATATTTGAAAAATTTTATTAAAATTATTACCTTTGATCAAAAATTTTGATCTATTTCATTATCAGATTTAATGCATAATGTCCAAATTTGACCAGCATAGATTCAAGAAAGAAAATACAAAGCCATTTTTTTGTTAGTATATATTTATGTTAAAATATCTCTCCAATTCTAACACCAAACCACTGTTTTTAAACTTTATTTAAATATAGTTATTATTTATATTATGATCAAATTAAGGAGATATTACCATTATTATGACCATTGTGTTCTAAGAAAAAGCGGGTGTCTGAATAAGGAATAATTGTTTCATTCTTAAGTTTAGTTTTCGGATTGATTATTAGATTAGTTTACCACTTCTTCAAATTTGATTGGTTTCTTTTTTATTTTAGGGTCCTGAATGGTGTATAAGAAATTTGGATCGTTATTATTTAACTCTTTATCAAACGCTTTGTAATCAATCTCTTTAAATAACTAAAGAAACTTATGGCAGTCTGTATTGTGATTAAATTATTTAAAGAACTAAAAAGGGAATGTGAATATTTTAGAGCTCTTAAGTAGGATTTAGAAACAATCATTCTCAAAGAAACACATTACTCTATTAGCCACTTGTTAATTAGTTTCTACTATATACTAAATTAATAGTTAAAATAGTTTTTAGATAAATGGTTCCAATGTAGAAATCCATGGTCAAAAAATATGGCTTCTTTAACACAATTAGCAAAAGGCCGATACATCAATAATCCTTCAACCAAAAATATTGTTAAAGTTAGATTTTTGGATGAGAATGGCATGGAAAAACTTAATAATTAGTTATGATAAATTTAACATGTTTAAACTTTATGCAAATGTATGATAACAATTTAAATAAACGATAATATATACCTTTCTTTAAGGAACTGAAAATTCACTAACAATGTTTACTAATATCCTATTCCTGAATTATTTGTAAGCCTCATTAATTAAAGTATAAAAATACAATTATTTAAACCAAATATGTATCAGAATAGAATAACTACAGGAGTAACGAATTATAGAATGAGTGATAAATATCTTAATAACATTAATAAAACAACTACTTTTAAATAAAAAATTATCCATAGACTGAGTAAAATGAGTACTTCCAACATCAATCAATTTCGAATTATGGCATATTATAATTTTACTATATCAATTATTTACCGATTTTCCAATTTGCAGCCTACTTTTTAAAAATAGATAAAGGCATGAATATATTCATTTTTATCAATCTTATGATTAAATCTAGAACCAGATTAGCTAAAAAATTGGGCTACTTTCATAATTCTTATATTAGTTTTAAATATAAGAGAGTTGTTGTAATTGTCCCTAAACATATTTAATATCTTCATTAAGATCATAAGTTTATGAGTAAAAATTGATTTTCTATTATAATTGATCTCTTATTTCTTTAGGTATATATTTTTGATCAATAATTCTTGTCATAATTTAAATGAATAATTAAGGACTCTATAAATTCAACAAATTTATACCCTATTTTAAGAAGAATTTGCTGCAGTTTGAAGGTTTTAGGACAAAGATGAAGGTTATTTATAGCTTAGTGCTTTCTAGTCCATTATCTAAATTTAATTTTCTATAAATTTATTGAAATTTTATTTTGAGATTAATATTTAATATATTTATTTGCTGGAATTCAATATTAAGAGTGTATATATATTCATTTGATTTATTATTATTATTTACATAATTAATTGAAATATGTGTTTATCAAATATGTATATGTTTAATTTATAAAAAGATTATTTGTATCAATCTAGTTAAATATAATATCAACAATTTTGCAGTGGTAAATCATATTCGAACAAATATTTAAATTGAATAAATTTAATTTAAAATTCAAGTAAATAGTAATTATAATTTTAATTTATATTATAATTATACTTCATTGATTACAAAAGAACTTAAATTTTCAATAAATTCATTTTTGAGCAAGATAAAAAATCTCTAATAATTTTAATTAATACTTTGAAATTTTTGATGATCTGAAAACAAAAACAGAGTGCTGTTATAAACAAAGTAATCCTAATTTATTACTAAATAAACAAATATTTGGTCATTCACTTATCAAAATTACAATTAGTCATTGTTATAAATAATATTCTAAATTCAAATAAAAGGTTAAAATTTCAAATAATATTAAAATAAAAATCTAAAAAGATGAATAATATATAAAATAATCATATTAATCAATAATAATTTTTCATTTTTCTTCAAAAAATTATACATTCCTTGCATTTTTAACAAGTATATGATTTATTATTATTTTTAAGACATTCCTTTATATATTTGTTAATGAATTCTATATATTTTGGCCAAATGGAGTCTCCTTTTGATTAAAATTCATAATTACTATATGATTTAAATTCAGTAATATTTATAAATAATTGGGCAACTGCTGATAATTCAAGAGCCAGCAAAACACTTTCATCAATCAAGTCAAAATATCTATGATATAAATCAATAATTTCTCTCTAAGTATTAATCTTATGTTTTTTCAATATCTCATATAAGGCATTTGTTTTTTGAAGAAAATTAAATGCTAAGATCTATCTAACTATTTCAAATAAAAACGCTTACCCTACACTTCCTTTCAAAACAAAACAAGCCTTTTCCATTCGTCTTTAATCTAACAGCTCTATTGCTAAATACAACTCTTAAACCTGTTTTTTAAACGTCATGTTAATAAACTTGGTGATTATAGACACATAAATTTCTTCACTTCCATATTCAATTTTACCTTATTCATAATTTATAGTTTTAAAATCCATTAAATTAAATATCATTTCTTTATTGATCATTTTTATAAGCTAAAATTCATCATCTAAATTAAATCTAATTCCAAAAGAAAATATCAAAAGTTTAGCATATTTTAGGTTAAAATTCTAACATAATTTTATACTATATACTAATTATATAATTTATTTGTCTTTGATATCAATTATAAATTATAAATTTATAAAGATCTTAATTAACAAGAAATAAATTTTTCTGGCTATTTAGTAATCATTTAATATTTCTATTTTGTCTATCTATTTTTATGAAAATTTATAGTTTGTTTACTTTCAGGTTCTGTTATAAGATTTCTATTTCTTCTCAAATAATTCTTAAACTCTTATTCTCTGACCTAATTTTTGTATTAAGTTTAAAACTTAACTAGTACATATTAGAGCAAATAAAATCAAAGGAAATTAAAAGAAAAATTTTAATTTGTTGATATTTTCAATTATTTTTTAAGCAAAATTGATTTATAAATTTTGTATCCATTATTTAGTTTTATGTATATATGCGAAGGTGATTAAACATATATAGTTTTGAAGTATATTTGATTCTTACAATGCCAATTTACATTAAGTGAAAATTAATCTATCATTCTTATCCTACTTTTAAGTTAAATATGTATAAATTTTTTAATAATAATTCTAAATCTTTACTTCCTTATATACTTAAAATTATCCATTTTGTTTTCAATTAAAAAGATTTGTGATAATTTATTTTTATTTTATTTTCCTAACTAATCTAAAAGTTTATAGAATATTTAATGATAATAATTGGCAAAATGATTTATTTTATATTAAAAATATTATAAAATTTAGGCAATCTTAATGAATAGCGATATTTTGTTAACTTGTAGATTCAGTTTGCATAATAATAAATAAATAGAAGGATTTTGTCCTTTTCCTTAATGCAATAATTTTCGTTTATTTTGTGTTAATTGCTTACTTGATTATCATTAAGATCATACAAATGAATGTAAGAAATTATATGAGTATCCTCAATGGGCTGAAATGTTCAATTAAATCCATTTGGAAAATATTAATAAATTAGAATCAATTTTAGAAATTTTTGTTATACTAAAATAATTTAAAGCTTGGTATGAAACATAATATAATCCTTTAATTGATAATTAAGAAAGCTTAAATGTCTAAATGTTTGAATAAAAAATTACTAATATGGTTAATATTAAATATATAACAAATATTATTGATTAATCTATTAAACCATAAATTGAGAAAATGAAAACATACCTAGAATATATAATGAATTAAACAGGAAAAATTAAAAATTTATGTAAAATAATAATATGAGTTAAAGTTTCTTATGATGAGTTTATATAAAGCCATATATAGTCATAGAGTAGTTTAAGTAATAGATCTTAAAGGAATTATGAAGAAAGTTTTAATTTATTATTAAATTTAAGCTAAATCTCTTTATTGGGCAGGAAAGTACTAAGAGTGTATTAATAAATGTGAGGCATATTAAAAATTTAATATTACAGATGTTCGATTTTCTTTAATGAAAGGTATTAATTTATTAAATTTTAAGGTGATAGCTATTTAGAACTTAAAAATTTTGAAAAAGCAATTGAAAATTATTAGATAGCTATAGAAATGGATGATAGTTGTTATTATGCATATGGAAAAATTGGTATATTTTATTATAATTTATAAGGTGATATAAATTTAAATACAGGAAATTTATAAGAAGCATTAAAACATTATGATGAATGCACTAAAATAAATAATTAATAGCAAGAATATTATATTAAGAAAGGTATTTTTTTTTAATATTTAAGCTAAAATCTATTAAAAATTGAATTAGTTTAAACAGGGTTTAGAGTAAGTAGATCATCTTTTATAATTAAATTCTACTCATATAGAAGCCCTCTAAATGAAAGGTACATAACTTAATCTTAATCTAGCAACTCTCTTGTTATAGTTAGATTAAAAAAAAAGTTGGATTGATTAATCTTAATAATCATTGTAATTTAGTACACCTCATATTCAATAATTTTTATAGCATTAATGTATTGAATTATACTTATTAATTTAGTAAAATTAGGAAATCAAATTCTTAATGGACCTTTAGAAGGATAAATTTTATCAAAAGAGGAGATTAATTTCAAGTATTAACAAGGTATTAATTAATAAACAATAATTAAGCATATAATCAGCTTGAAAAAAATCCAAAAATAACCTTATAAATATGTAGAGAAATTGTTGAGAAGGAGAAGTGCTGGCTCATTGAAAGGCTCGTGGAAATGCAAATGAACAGGCCCATGAACAGGGACATGGAAAGGGACAAAATAAACATATAATTCCTAATTTTATCTGGTATAAATTTATCTTTAATAGGCCATGCATATAAAAATCTTGGAATTTATTAGGAAGTTTTGAATATTTGTGAAATAGTAAAGAAAATTGATCCGAATAATTAAGAAATAGAAAGCTTGGAGTAAATTATCTATACACTGATATAATGAATAATAATAGTTTATATATGAATAAGGAATATTCAGTATTAAATATTTAACATCCAAATTTATTTAATTTCAGCGACTAAAAATACAATTCAGATCAATGGCATTTAAAATTATATAAATATAAAAAATCAAATTTACTAGTATTTAAAAAGATAGGGATATATGAATCAATCAATAAAAGATCATATTTTATGAAAAATGAATAAATATAAAAAGTGATTTAATTTAAATTAGGATATTAAAATATTAATTTTATTTAACTAATGAGCGGATTAGAAGATATTCCTGAATTTTATGATGATCCATAACAACCAACAAAATAGGACATATAGTAAGAGCAAATATTGAGAATCGTAGAAAATATGACAATTATAATGTCTCATAATTCAAAAACTTTGGGCTTAAAGAGGAGCTCTTACGAGCCGTAAAAGAAGCCGGGTTCGAGCATCCTACTAGAGGTATAAATGATAGTTTTATATTTTTAGTCCAAGCAGAATCGTTGACTAATGCATTATCAGGAGAACAATTGATTTGCCAAGCAAAAGCAGGAACAGGAAAGACAGCAGTATTTGTTTTGACTGTATTGAATACCATCAACACTGAAAGCAACAAAGTGGAATGTCTTGTTATTACTCATACAAGAGAGTTAGCCCAATAAGTAAGTGATTTATAAATATTAAAGGCTCGTGATGAATTTTTAAGATTGGGAAAATTTATGAAAAGTATCAAAGTAGAATGTTTTTATGGTGGAGGAGAACCAGTAACTGTAAATATTTAAACTATTGAAACAGTCAAACCTTAAATAGTAGTTGGGTAAATTTGTAATTTAATTTATAGTACACCAGGACGTCTTAAGGATTTGATATGTGAGAGGAAAGCATTGAAAGTAGATAGATTGAAGTACTTTATTTTGGATGAAGCCGATACTATGATTGAAGATTTGAACATGAGGTGCTGATTTTTGGAAATAATTATTTTTAGAAAGGACATATAAGATATCTTCTTACGTACACCACAAGACAAATAATTTATGGCATTTAGTGCAACATTTACTGATTCAAGTAGAACATCACTCAAAAAAATTATAGCTGATAATAAACATGTAAATTATTATGGCATTAAAAGATTTATGAAATTACAATCAAACCAGAATAACTATTTTTAGATAAATTGAAATAATACTACATGAAAGTACCTGAAGCTCTTAAATTCCATTATTTAAGATAAATATTAAATACATGCAAATTAAATTAATGCATCATTTTTGTTAAGAGTTCAGAAAAGGCTGATGCATTAGTTTCAGAACTCAAAAAGAAAGGAGAAGATTCAGTTAGATAACTTTATGGTGGCAACAGATTGGGACCAGATCATTAAAAAATGAGATAGAAAACCTATGAATAATTTAGAAATGGACATTTCAGATTGTTAGTGGCAACCAATTTAATGGGAAGAGGTATTGATATTGATAAGGTTAATTATGTTATCAATTTTGATATGCCTGATTCTTTAGAAACTTATTTACATAGAGTACACTTTTTAAATAAATTATTAGGTAGGAAGAGCTGGAAGATAAGAAACTAATGGAGTTGCAATTTCTTTTGTTAGATTTGAAGAAGATGCTTCAGAGAATAAAAAGCATACAGATGATGAAGTAATTTGTTTTATTTATTATATAATTAGGTTTTATAATAGATCCTTAAATAGTATCCAGACAAATTATTATAATTACCTTAAGATTTATCCACATTAGACAAGTTCTGAAAATGATAATATTACATAAAATAAAAAATAAAAATATATATTAATATGCAAAAACCTATATAATGTAAGATTGTCACTTTAGGTGATTATGCTGTTGGCAAAAGTAGTTTGATATAAAGATTCACTAAAAATGATTTTACTGATACAAGAACATAAACAGTGGGAGCTGAATTTTCTCCAAAATAAATTATAAGAGATGGTAGATTAATAGAATTATAGATTTGGGATACGGCAGGTCAAGAAGTTTATAGAAGCATTGCCAAATTATATTATATGGGTATTAAATGATATATATAAATTAGATGCTAGTTTTGCTATTATTGTTTATGATGTAACAAAACCTAAATCTTTTGAAGTACTTAAATTTTGGTTGGACAAATTATTTGAAGAAGGATTGAATGATATTAGTATTTATGATTTCATATTAAATTTTAGCCAAGTTCATTATAGCAAATAAAATTGATTTAGAATCTTAGGTTCCTTTAGAGGAAGTTAAACAATATGCTAATTCATTTGATCCAAAAATAGAAGTATTTGAAACAAGTTGTAAACAGAATATTGGTGTTTTTGTATTAATTTTTAATATTTTTTAGGAATTATTCAATCATATTGGTGATTTGGTAAATGAAAAAGAAAAGTTATAATAATAAAAAAAAAGAGAAGAAAAACCAGCAATTAAAATTGGAAGCTCTGATAATAGGAATGATTCTGAAAATTCGTGTTGTTGATAATATTATTTCTTTTAATTATTTTCATTATTCTAAATATTAATATCAATAAGGTTATTTATAATTATAAATATACAAATGTTTATATATATATATATCACTTTTGTCTATTTTAATTTATATATCTTTGATAAATAATTATTATTTAGAGATTAAGAAATTACATGAAATTTATTGGTATCATTTCAGCAATATATATTGATCAAATATTTTTAATTTTAACATATTGTTTTTATTCAAAATAAATGAAATTCTATTATTGAATGAGATATATATTTAAAATGAATGGTATAAAATATATATTATGGTATTTTGAATTTAATATTGATTAATAATTTCAGCAAAATGAATCTTCCCATGTATTTGATCCTGCTCCACTAAACATATCTATTTTCCAATAAGTAAACAATCCAAAAGAGTCAGCCCACCAAAGAGTCACAAACATTGGTAAGAATTATCTACTAGCATAATTTCTTAACATTCCTGGGAAATAATTATTGAGATTTCTAGCATACCTATATACATAATAATAATTTCAATTACCAAATATGAGTAGCAGCTTTTCTATAATTACCATCATAAGGACATACACCATTTGGTTTTGGCCATAATTCTACCATTTCTCTTGTCACTTAAGATAAGGAGTAACTTGTCAAAATTGCCAAATATGTAGATAAGAAACAATTTAAAACTTTAACTGGGAAATATGGAATTTCTGCTACTCTTGTAAGAACAGATAACTATTGTACTTAATATAATAATCAATACTTTATCCTTCATCCAATCAAAAGAGTATAATAGAGTTAATGTTTAGAAGAAGTTTCTAGCAAAAAGAGGGAATGAATTTTTATAAAAATAGTATGGTCCCTCTTCAAATGGAATTCTCCATAAAGCATTAAAAAATGAAGTATATCCTTTTTACAATTCTTTAGGGAATGTTTTATCAGCATAATAAGCCATTCTAGCAACTTCAAAAGGAATTCCAATTGGTGCAGTAAGAAGTGAAATGAACATAGTACCTGGGATTTTTCTTAAGAATCCATATTCAAATGTACCCCAAGTTCCTATATTCAATATATTAATACATTACTTTGCCATCCATGATTGACTGCTCTAAATGCTGCTAATCTTAATGCCCAATCAATGCCACCTGAAGCAAAAGCAAATTACATTCTGGTACCCATTGATCTTTTGAAATTTTCAAGATTGACTGTTGCTTTACTAAAATTATACAATTCTTTGACAGTATTTGGTTATTCATACTTACGTAACCTTAAACTTATATATATTAAATACAATAATTTCCAATTCTCATAAAAATTATGCCATGCTTCACCAACAACACTTCCCAATAATCCTGATATTGCTCCTCTAGTATAATTCCATCTCAATGAACTAATTTATTCAAAAGACTACTTACTTTTCTGGAGCATCTGTCCATACACCAGCATTATAACAATCAAAATATAATGAATGTCTTCTTCTGATGTCGTCTAACTCAAAAAACATGATAAATTAATTATTGAATTAGATATTTTTGGTTTTATATATTTATATATTGTTCCTGCTATATTATTCAAATGAACACTTTTTTGTGCATAGAATGTGCAACTTGATATTTCTAATAACAATTATAAACTCTATTCCATTCTAATTCTTCTTTGATTCTCCATCCTAACCATGCAACAATACCTCCAGGGACAGCAGCCCAAAATAGTCTCTATTTGATTGGTAAACCTTTTATTATTGGAAAGAAGAAGAATGAGAATGAATAGACAGCTCCTCCAACTTATCCTAATCTTTCAAATCTTGATGCATCTCTATTGTATAGAATTAATTAAATACGCTTCTGCATGGAACACTTATTCAGTCAATTTCAAAGGAACATGTCTATCGTATTTCAAGAATTATTTGACCTCTTCTTTCTCTTTTGCTGTAACTGTTTTCTCGAATAGACCAAAGTGTTCTGGTTGATCGTATATCATAATAATATAATAATTAAAATCTTGTAATATTTATATCAATAATAATTATTCTAAGCTCTCTATGAAGTTTGTTTACTTTAAACTCAAACTAAATAAAGAAATTATTTATTCTTTACAATTGCAAATATTAAATCAATATATTTAAACAAAAGGTAAGAAATATAAAGTTTATTTTCAATAATCAATCAAAATAAACTAACTATAAGTTTATACTAAATTTGCCTTAATTACTTTATCTTACTTACTAGATAATTCTATTTATTATTCTAATAAGATTCTAATTTTTTATAAAATAGATATAAAGGATGAGAATTTTCATGATTAAATTAGAGGAAAAAATGATTATCAAGACATTACAGAAGTAAATTTAGTTATTTACTAGATAACATTAATATATTATAAATTTTATCAAAATAATATAAGACATCTAAAATAATTCCAATGTATTTTCTTTTTCATCTATATATTATTCAAATTATTTTTAATAAGATCTAGGGTAACATTAAAGGATTCTTGATATTAACAATAGCCTCAAATTTATAGAAACTCATGATATTTAGTTCAGTAAACATTATTATGTAGTAAATTAAAAAAAATGTATTTTCTATCTTATTTCTTAAATATACATTATTTAAATTAAGCAAAAAGCATAAAATTATTATATTAATCATATCTCCCTATACTATATGAATATAATTAATTTATAATGAATTATTTATTGAATTAACAGGAAAATACATCAAAACTGATTTTATAAGTAAAATATTATTCTATGAAATATATTTTAATTCAATGTTGATAAAATTTGAACATATTATATATTATATTATCAATCATTTAGTTGGGTTGTAAAGGCAGCTCCATTAAGAATCCAATAGTCAGGATTCTTTTTTGTTGGGCACTCAATAGCTCTTATGAAATTAGTAGAATGTCCTGTAGTTGATAACACTCCTGCCCGAAGACCTTTAGATTAATTTTGAATAAATACTTGTTTTATAAAGAGGCATTGAATATTCATTTGGATTAGGTTTATAGTCTTAAGTAGGTATAAAATGTATTATAGGAGCCTAAAATATAGTTTATCCTGGTAACTAATCTTCTAGTATTCCTTTGTTTATATCAAATCTACATCCCTCTATGTATAAACCATAAATGTAAGCTCCATTATCAGGAGTTGATGTAATCTAAATAATTTAAATTTATTACCATTTCACTATCTACATAATTAAAGAATTTGAAACTGAATCCAAGAACATCTATTGCAATTTAATTTTTTCTGGCAAATGTCTAGAGAACTGAAGTTAGGAAACCTTATGGGAAGAAGAATGCTGAGATCCAATAACCTTTTGGATAACCAAATTCTAAATTAAACCAATCTCTGAAGAAATTAACTCTTTTTATCATATCATCATAAAATGAAGCCAAAGGTTTTAAAGAAGGATAAGCTTTGTTAGCCCAAATTTAAGGGACTTAATTATTGAGTAAGGAGCTGTACATTTTATCAAGTTCAGCTGACATTACTACTTCTCCTTTAATAGCTGCTTATAAATTTTTTATTGAATTTCCAATAACTGATAATAATTTATTAAATCTTTGAACTTCCTAATTTAAACAAACCTTTAGTGAATCAATTTCAGATGAATTATGTTGAGGAGCAGCTTATTTTTTCTTTTTTTCCTATTCTTTAATTTAAAATGGAAGTTTCTAGGCAAGAATATCACAAAGCTCCAAAACATTTTCATCTGGAGTTTTTTACTTTTGATCTGAATCATTTGTTTGAGCACTTTCCCTTGGTTAAATACTTAAAATAGTGGACAAAGCCATTTTTGATTCAGTTAATTTAAAAGTAATATTGGCATTTTCATTCATTCCAAAAACTTCAGGCTTTTCAAAATCAGGGAATTTATTAATTAAATTTCTATATCCATCAATATTCATTTCTGCAGGTTATTTATATACACCTGAATCTGAAAAAGAGTATCCATCATTTAATGCCTCTTCACTAAAATTATTATATAATTATTTTACTTTATAAACTTGGATAAAATTGTGAGTAAACATCTTCGATCCCAATCATCCGTAACTCTTCCACCATATGTGATTTCTCCGACAACATAGACAATTGCATCCCAAGGTATATCTTAAGGTTAATCAAGAAAATTTCTAAGTAATGTGTATGAAGTTTCAAGATCAGAATCATTAAATCTAATTTTAGATGAAATATTACTCATATCTAATGTTCCAACCTAAAGGTCCAAATTTACGACGTTCTTGAACAACTGCATGGAAAAATGCAAGAGAAAAGAGTAATTTTTTCCATGGCTCTTTTTTTTCACAATTTTCAACTTATTCTGATGATAAATCAGTATAACTCTTAAACATATTAGATTTCAATCCTTTAGGAGGTTCAGTAGTTAATTTAATACTGTTTTAGAGAACACTAACAGGGAAGTAATCACAAGGCATACTTGTCAACATTAATCTAAAACCAGTGTTAAATTATGATTATAATTCAGGATCCTCAAACCATTCTAATTTTTTTTCAAGAGTTGGCATGAATGATTTACCAAGATGACAATTTTATAGTATTACCCAATCACCACTCTTAACTCCACTTTCAATTGCTTTTTCAGCAATAATACCTTATCCTTAACCAAGTGAAATAATTCTAAGCTTTTCAGATGATATTTTCTTTTGATTAGCTAATCTTATTAAACTAGATAATGGATCTGCACCTTAACTCAATATAAATATAAATGGAGTTTTATGATCAGTATCATTGAAAATTTCTTCAATTGATGCTTAATTATTAGAAGTGTATTTCTTTCCTAAGATTGCATCCACATAATAAGTCATTGCATATAAAGATTCTTCTTCTCTTAAAACTTTTACAATCATTAATTTTTAGAAAGGAGTTAATTGCTCATTTAATAAACTCCAAGGATTATCAGATTGTATTAATTACTCAGTCTCTTTGAAATTAGTTAATGTTTAGTTGTAAATTTATATAAAATTTTAATGGACTGTTGTTAATTGATACAATTCATTCCAGATTTTAGGAGTTAATTTAACAGTATTAGGCATAGCTGGTGGTTAAATTGATAGACTTGCACCTCTTATAAAAAGATTCCATTCTCCAAAAGAAATTTGTTTTGCATTTAGTTATATTTTAACAGTCATTAGGAATGAAAAGATTCTCTTATGTTAATTAAATAGACCTCTACAAACATTTGAGTAGATAGCTTCAGTAATACCATCTATTAATGTAGAAATTCTTATTTTTATATCTTCATTCTTTTCTGAATTTCTAATTACATTTTAATAAAGTCTCTTGAAATAATTTAATGAAAACTAATACATTGGATCTACCAAAGTGAAATCTGCAATAACAAAATAAAGCAAACTACCTCTAGTAGCCACTGGCAAATATTATTATCTTGCAGCTTCAATTTCAGCAGATTTCTATTCTTGATTTACTAAACTTTCTTTAACTTATATTGCATCTTATTTTGATATCTTTAAATTTTCAATTAAATCAACATTATCTAAAATCATTCCTTTAGAATTTGCTAATAGATTTAAAATCTTCTCTTCATTCTTTCTTAAATTCATGTTTCCAGTAGAAATTCTCTTAATCAAATCTTTTTTCTCTTCTTCCATCTCAGGTTTTTCAATCTATACAACATCTCCAAGTAATTATTCTTCTAAACCTTATTCTGTGACTGTAAAATTAATCACTGTTACTCTAATAAATATCTCTGGTAAAAACTATGGATTTGCCAATTTTGTACTAAAGAATAATTTGAAATTAGGATCAAATTCAACTTCTCTATCCCCTATCTTTATCATTTTTCTTCTATTTATTATATTAAATTATTTCAATAATAATGGTTCTAAAAAGTTATCCAATTATTCTTAAACATCTTCTAAAAGCAAAGGTATTCCTGTTTAAACTGCATTTTCTATATGTTTAATAAGCCCATCTTAAGTAATCTTTAAAACTTTCAAATTATGCTCTCTATAACTATTCTTTATCCAAGTATTAGCTTATAATTGTGGATCAATAAACATCGGATAAGATCTGCTGTATTTTTGAATGATACCATTTGACTTTGAAACTGTATCATTAGGTAATCCATTTGCTGCCCATTGTTGAATTTCAAGAGCATCTCCTAAAACTGATTCAAAATTATATTTCTCACTCAAAGGAATAGTTAATTCTGTAGCTTTTTCCATCCAATTTTGTATTAATTAATTTCTAAATGTTCCAGTAAATGGACCTAAATAAGCTACTGTTGAACCTCCCAAAAATACATTACCCAATAGTAGTTATATTTCTTCAGTTAAACTTTCAACTTTAATTTTCCATCTTTCTTACTCATCTGCTAATCCAACTGTAAGTTCTTCAGCTCTTATTAATCTTTATTCTGTTGTTTAAATATCTTAATCAAGACGATCTTTTTCTTATTTATTTTAATTGAATTGTATTTCTAATTCTGTTACTTTTTTAACTACTTAAGCTAATTCAGATTGTTTTTATA